CTCACAATATGGAGAGCACTTCACCATCAAAGGTAAGATTTTTCTCTAGCTGCTCAAATACAACAAAAATGATTCGGAACCAACCTGGAACAAAACGTAAAGGGAACTCTCTAATTAAATTTGTAAATAAAATTAGAATAAAGACCCATTGTTAAAAATTATCAGTATGTGAATAAAAAGGAATAGCCTATGAATGCACTGCTGTGCACTCCCCCCCTCCCCCCCTCAGTTATGTACTGGTACTCATTAGAGTTGAAAAGATTTATTATTGAATTTTGAGCCGTGTTAAGTTGGGCTGCTGATGAGGTCTAAAAACACCGGAACCGGTATAGATCTCTCGCCGTGACTCCAATTTAATATTCCATAATGCAAACTGCCTGAGCTGAACACTCTCCTCCGTCACTTTGTTGCTGGTACTCATTACAGTTAAAAATATTTATTTTTGACTCTAATTATAAATTTTAGAACTTCTTGGCTTTGATTTCCCCGCGAAATGATGTGGCCCCAGCACAATTTCACCACCTTGCTACATACAGTATTCGGGCCACTTCTCAGTGTTTTTTTCTCACTTGGTTTTTATATTTATATCAATTTTAATTAAAGCACACCGCTGCTCATAAATAAGTGAATTTATGAGCATGCAAAATATCGCTCGCAATATTCAATGAATATTATTCTCACACTGTAACTAAAAATGTAGCAAAAAAATCTCATCTATCCTTCCAAGGCCGCAGTATCCCCCGGATATAAAGCCATAAACAACATACAAAAAAAAATCTCATCTAAAAATTTTAATAAATTTAAAGAGGAAAGTTGTGCGGTTTTGACACTGCGCGATGCAAGAAGTGGTCATAGACGCTCTTATTTGAGTTGGGACGGCGCACAGTGGATCGAGTCCATGGGAAAGGGCGGACAAAATGTGGGAACTTTAAAAGCTTATAACTCCGTTCATACACAACTTTGAGGTCCCAAAAGTGGTTCATTGGTATTTTTGTGAAATTTTCCTCCAGATACACCCTTTATACTTTAAAATGTGACGAAATAAACACATAAATTCTCAGTTTTAGTCAAAAATTTCATGTCCGACTTCTCTAATTGACTCGATCCACTGTGCGGCGGAACATTAAAAGAGAGAGATGTGGCATCTCCTTCCTAAAAAAGTATGGTCCCCTGGAGGTGTCCGGAAAGCAACAACAAGCTACAATCACATCAAAAATCGGCGCTTACCATCCGCACCTGTCGCAAAAATGAAGTCATTAAAGTTATAATCGTTTATCCAAAAAATCCAATGCTACCTCACCTATTCCGTGATAATGTCCGACAGTTCCGAGATACTCTGTTCGCAGATTTCCTTTTTTTACGTCATCTCCCGGAATGTTCCCAACTAGCCAGTGCTCAAAAAAACACCGCAGATTCCATATGCCTGTACCATCCGGACCTAATATAAAAAGCAAGATAGGAACACACGTTCAGAGTTATCAGAAAATATTTGACTCTTAGTTGCTTCTGTTGCTTCTGACTCTATGTATCAATGATTGTGGTCGGAATGATCATATCACCGTTTGTGACGTTGCAAATTTTTGCGCATTGTCTATTAAAAAAAAACAAACAAACAAACAAACAAACCATCGACGGTCTTTCTTAAAATGCCACGAAAGTCAATTGTCTTTACTCGTGTACAGTATTTAGAGTGCATATCAAGGAGCTATTTTGATTCATTTCCTCTTATAAAAATGAAACATTGCAATGAAGATGCGACTTCATTGACTTTATAGCCATTGATATGTTGCACGTAGAAACAGTAAGGGAGCTCTAGCCTCCCGATTCTTTTAACAGCTATGATTTGTGTCAAAAGAAAAAGAGAATACGAAGGGAGGATTTGTAGATTAAATGAGCTTATAAAAATTCCAAAAATGGACATTTTTGTTTCGGTCAAACATTCGAAATAGTTCACTCACCTATCGCCGCAAGAATATATTCTCTATCTTTTTTTGCAGGCCAGTGGACTAACGTTGGTTCGTCTTTAGTATCATTCCAATAAAGTCTGTTCCCAAAAGTTACTTCGCGCTTTTCGAAGTAAACCTAAAATGATTTCTAATAATTACATATACAAACTTAGTTTGACATTTTTTAGGCATACAACCAATATGGTATGTCAATTGAAATTAGAGTAACGCCATCTCATACGTTTAAAAATGCCTCATTATAAGAATAGTGCTTTTAAAATTCACTAGTCTCGAAAGCATAAGCAGGTTAAACATAATTCCCTTGATTTTATCGTGAGCTTTCATAATATTCAATTATCCTTTTTTAAAATCCATCCGTTCGTCCAACTGCTCTCGTCAATTTTTAATTTTTCTCTTTCTCTTCCTCCTCATCTTTCCATCTTCCTCACTGCGGTTTTTCTAAGAATAGTGAGAAAACGTTTGGACAGAACAGAAAATTTGTTTGCAAATTGATCAGAAATAAAAAGTTTAGGCAGCAGTACTTATTCAATCATTCAGAGAATATGCAGGTCGAGGTACTGGGAGGTCGAAATAGTTACATCAAGAAATTTTCTCTCGTGGGTTACATTATGCGAGTTGTTCACGCCAAAAATGTAATGGATCGATAAAAAAAAATGTTTGACCTTATCTTTAGAAAATTAAAAATTAATTTCAATGTATCTCTCCTTCACCTCTCTTTTTAGAAACATGGTTATTAAGGCTGAACTCACGTTAATCAAGTACGTCAACTTTGCCAAAATTTTCACGTATAAAATCTAAACGCACCGGGCCCCTGAATAGAGCGGCATTATAATTAAACACTATACTTGTACTTATACATTATACTTGGACATTATACTCATTATACATTATACTTTTTACTACAGGGCTAGTTGATCAACGAAAAAGGTTTTCATACGGAATGCTTGAGAACTAAAGAAGCATAATGATCGAACTCACCTCGATTGGATACTTCGGTAAATCTGGTAATAAGTATGGATATATTTTATATTCGGTCAGTGCTTTTCTCATATAATCTGGATTGAATTTTGGGATTTTCTCCACAGATATAACACCAATTTCTACGATACACGAGAATACAAAAAGGTAAAAAATATACCTTGGCCCTTTTCTTTTGGAACTGATTCTACTGGACAACAGGTTTAGTACACGTTGGATATAAGAACTGAACATTTTTTAAGTGATTGAACCGTGTTTTCATCGAAAGCCGAAAAAGCAGTGACAATCTTATCAGTTAAACATTCTCTCAAAATGTAACGTCACAGTCATTCAAAGAGAGAAAGATGGATGAGGGCTCATTGATCTCTATTTTCAATTATTTAGTTCACGTGAGAAAACCCCCCTTCTTTCAAAGCAGCTTGAGTCATCGAAAAATATTCAAAATTCTGAAGAAACTTATGGAATAAAAACAGTTTGGCAGCTGCGAGGTGCCCATGACATTTATATTTTTTTTCTTGTTTTTGATTTCTAACGATGATCATTTATGCATAAACAGGATACATTTTCCTTTTAACAATGCAATCTCATCTTCGTTTTAGTCTTACATGGAACAGTATAAAAGTGTTAAACTTACAGCTCTAGTTTATTTTTTGTGCGGTATATATTTTTCAGTGTTTTGGAAAACTTCACTGTGCCCGGGCCCGACCAAAAAAGAGCCCAGTATGTGAGGGAAACATAGGCAATTAAGTATGTCGTTTCATTTTTAAGTCTCACATTACGCGTTTAGATGAACATTTTCATGCCAAAATTACGACTAAAATTGAAATTTGAATGGGTGAAAAAGAAGGATGAACATGAAACTGGTTAAAGTCTATTGTCTCTGAGAACCTATTCTTCATCGACATTGTGATCTTTCTAAGCACTCTAGAGCCACAGATTTGCAACTTCGCTAGATTTTACACGAACCAGAACGAGATCCAGTATCGTGGGTGCACAAAGAATCCTGTACATCGATGTCAATCTAGCCGTGTCGTTGACTCGAACTCAATTGTGATTTACGTCATTGGCTGGCGTTTGCAAAAATGCCACACAAATTCATAGGTACTATCCCGGGTAAGTTCCAATTTAGCACATAATTTTTGAGATAATAGATCTAAAATAACGCCTTTATCAGTGGTGTAAAATATTTATTCATGTATTTTTTTTTTTTTTTGTTATTTTGCGTTATTTTTCGGAGGAGCTAAATTTTGCTCATCATCCAGAATAACGGTAAACCGATTTTTTGGGGATAGGGCGCGTGGATTAAGGTGAAAACATCGATGTCAAGAGATCAATTTATTAAATTAATTAATTGCTAAACACAATGAGTGTGCAGAAGATTAGGTTTGAAGACCCTTCAATGAATTGATTTTTGTTGGATCAATTTTGTGTCAATCAGTTTTGAATAGATGGATGTCACTCGTCGAAGTCTGACTCTCTAGATGTTAAGTATGTCAAGTTCAAGCCAATCTGGTGCATTGACTTAAGAGTGCAGTTTCTTGTCGCCGGATTTAAGAGTCTTGAACTCTTGTTTCAAGCGGATTTTGCATTAATTCAATTCAAAATCCGCTTGAAACAAGAGTCCAGACTCTTAAATCCGGCGACAAGAAACTGCACTCTTGAACCAAGAGGTTTTTTTACCAGTGTTATTAATTAGAATTATCGAGCGCCACCAATCAAAATAGTATACACATCTTCCGATTAGCCATCACCATATTTTAAATTTCTCTGTCCGTCTAAATTTTTAGCAGGCACCTACTGAGAGAATTAGAAAAAATGGATGACCAGAATGACAATTATTTTGAATTTGCAACCAGGAATACCTACAAACATTATTCAATCGGGTTTCTGCAAACAGATACGACGCATCTTTTATAATGAGGTCAGGATGCAACTATTCCTGTTTCTTGACTGTCTTTGTTGCATGTTCAAAAAATGAAGGCGCAATGCGTCTTCATGAGCTTTTAGAAAGCCATATTTTTGCATTTGGCGAAGCTTGTTGCCTGCTGCCGCGCCATAGCCGCGAGGAGAGGAATCTTCGTAAAAATTAGTTACCAACAAATTTTTAAAATAAGGCAGGATAGTGCATCCTGTCCCTCTAATTCACACATATTTATATTAAAAAAAAGAACAGAAAAAGGAATACTGCGAGGAATTGACTGGTTTTGTAAGTTTCGCGGGGTCAATCTTCGGACGTGTTTCTCAATTAAAAGGCACGTTCCGAAAACTGCTTAACTGAAATACTGCATTTTCTCTGTATATCGAAAAAGGCTGAGTTCGATACAAATTTTCGTCAGACAAAACATAATTTTGGGGCGTGATCATCAGCTGATAGAGGTTAACTGGAAGGCAACAGAGGGTAAACTTCAGCTATTTTATTTGCTGAGTATTTGAGATTCAAAACTCTCAAGTTCAAATTTATTTTTGAAACAATACAATCAGTTTTATTTTTAAAAGTCTTAAAATTGAAATTACAGACATTCACAGAGATTACGTTTAAAAGCAGTGGCCTAGTCCAGTCAATAGAGCACATATAGGGACTAAGTAGAGACAATTTCTGAGGAAACTTTCTGGTATACTATTCCTATGTATTTTCCATAGCTGAATCCGAATTTCATATTTGCGAACAAATCTGAGGCGAGCCAAAGCCGCCATCTTGAAAAAATGGTCGAAATTAGCGTTTTTCGATCAAAATGACTCGTATATTATGGAAATTACGGCAAAAGTAGTTATCTTCTAAATTAAAGTACATAAAATTTCCATTAAAACGAGTCCAAGATGGTTAAGATTGGATGATACCAAATGCCGTTACAGCGTTGCAAAGTTTCAGGCAATTATTGAAGTTAGGCAATTTTCGTAACTCTCCCTGCAAAAAGAGAGCTTTCAAGGCAATTAATCATTACATCGTAGTAAGTGTAAATATGAATGATAAAAGGAGTGCAATTTTGAGTTCTTTACTTTCAAGAACGGCNNNGGGGGGGGGGGGGGGGGGGGGGGGTCCGTATAAGCGCAGCTGCAGGGTCCTCCGTTCCTCCCCCATTTACATATGGCCCGGGTGCGGCCGGTCGGCCTTCGTTCTCCGGTTATTAGTTTTTCTGTCCACCACAGGCGCCTTTTCCGGAGGACATAAACTTGATGTGCCTACGTAAAGGTATATTCGCTGATGACAACATTAGCTGCCACCAAGCCAAAGAGACAGGCACTGCTAGCTTATGCCAAAAATATAGTAGGTCAAACTTTTGAGTCCGTTAAGTTTAAGCGCACCGACCGCTGCGCTGTAATCCAATCAGCAGTATGAGGAGTTTAATTCGAGTTGAAAAAGATGTTGTTCCAATAAACCCGCTCTTATTATTTCGGCGCATACTTATTATTATAAAATCAGATGAGGAGCTTCAAAAATTTTAGTCGCACGAACTTCCATGCACCCTATCCACTCTCGCTATTTACCGCAGCAGATGCCATGAGTAAAGTTACAATGTCCACATTTTATAATGCACTTACACCGTGTCATGGCTCCCTCTGCGCCCCACTGCCTCTTGTTCCATCCACTCGTCAATCTCTTCACTTCTCTGCATTTCATAGTCATTGTCCAAACATTCAGTGTCTTCTGGATCATCTACGTCATCTCCTTCTTCTTCCATTGAAAGTGCGTCTTATTGACTATTTTCGCACGAGCCATGGCAATACCCGCAAACAAGACTGCGCTGAAAGCATTTCTTCCAAAAACCGCGGGCGCCGCGACTTTCTTCAATGTACTTGTATGAGATCTTGCTTAAAATTTCGCCCGTAGCGGGATTATTCAATGTAATGATGGGGATGAGGCCATCTCTGCTATTCTTCCACCCCCAGTCACACGCGTTTTTCTTGATGCTCATCCATTGCTATGTGCTTGAGGATAGTAGCATGAAATGTGGCAGCGTCCTCTGAAGGTGGAAGACAAGCGAGATTTTGTACATTGTGGAAAAAAGTCGGGACATAGCTTTCATACCCAAATTCAGCCAAAGTTTTTTCTGCTCACCCTTGAAGCCATGTAGCTTGAGTAAATTTCCTGAAATTTCCTGAAAAAAAAAAGTATTTTCCTGCTTAAGAAATTTCTTCTTGCTTTGAGGCTGATTTTTTAAGCATCTGAGCTGCTGGTTCACTTATTAAAGCTGAGTTTTTCTTCAGGGTTTGCTAAAAATTTAACTTTGACTTGCCTGAGGAGTGATGATGTCGAGTGATGATGTCGTGTCACACCCACTAATAGCATGAATGAACAGTATGTGTTCGGCTTTCACTCAATTTTGAAGGCTGCCTCGGTTGAAAAGTATTTAAGGAGTCTCACCTTTTCCTGATTTTAGAGGGAAAGCATTTTTGACGTTACTTGACTGAGCTGTAAGGGGGACAAGGAGGTCAATATCTTTTTCTACAATGACAGCAATTTCGCCCTGTTTTGCCATTTCTAAGGTCTTTGAAACTTTGATTGAAATACAGACATGGTTTCAGCCCTGAAACGTTTCATGAGCCTTTGGATCAAACAGGATTTGTTTTTGCCGTTTTTCAGAAAATTTGCTTGTGATGTTACTGGGACCATACTTTCATGGAATTTTATTTCCAATGATGAAGCTTGTCATCTTCGTCATCTTCCAGGTGTTTTCGTGCTGCATTTTGTAATATCCTCGGGATAGCCGCCGAAAACGATCACAGAATTAGCGGAATACACACGGTTGTTGCATCTAGCTGAAAATGCCTCATTTTGTCTCCAAATCACTCGATGGAGCAAAAAACGAACATTTATGACATAAGTAGGATTCTTGTCATCAATTTTATCTACACACGGTGTAAATGTAAAAAAACATACCATAAAATGTGGAATACGCATGCCGTCTGCTAAGGTCATCAAAAGGGTAAAGGGTGAGAGATCGACAAAAAATGTTGAAGTTCCTCATCAGATGTGTTATTAACAGTTATGCGCCGAAATAATAAGAGAGGAAACATTGGAACAACATCGTTTACAAATCAAATTGAACTTCTAACCCGGAGAACGAAAGCCGACCGGCCGCACCCGGGCCATGAAAATAGGGGAGGAACGAAGGACCCTGCAGCTGCGCTTATACGGACCCCCCCCCCTCTTATCCACTGCCGTTCTTGAAGGTAAAGAAATCAAAATTGCACTCCTTTTATCATTCATACTTACACTTACCCACTTACCCATTTACCAGATGACCTCTGGATCGATAGGCAAGGATGGCGATTAGGTGTCGCAGAGCGCCCGGGCGCGCTGTAAAGCGACTGGAATGTATGTATGTACTTACACTTACTACGATTTAATGATTAATTGCCTTGAAAGCTCTCTTTTTGCAGGGAGAGTTACGAAAATTGCCTAACTTCAATAATTGCCTGAAACTTTGCAACGCTGTAACGGCATTTGCTATCATCCAATCTTAACCATCTTGGACTCGTTTTAATGGAAATTTTATGTACTTTAATTTAAAAGGTACTACTGCTGCCGTAATTGCCATAATATACGAGTTATTTCGGTTTTTTGGCCGAAAAACGCTAATTTCGACCATTTTTTTAAGATGGAGGCTTCGGCTCGCCTCAGATATGTTCGCAAATATGAAATTCGGATTCAGCGATGAAAAATACATAGGAATAGTATATCAGAAAGTTTCCTCAGAAATTGTCTCTACTTAGCCCCTATATGTGCTCTATTGACTGGACTAGGTAAGAGCGAAGTTATCATCGGTTTCATTCAATACTTTTTGTGGTATTTCAGGCGTTGGTATTCCGACCGCTGGATCCGTTCCCCAATCGACTTTAAAATAGTTTATAGCTTTCAAAGTCAAATTGTACTTCTTGCAATACTTTTGAGAGGAGAAATATCCTCGAAGTCTATTCACAGGCCTGCAAAAAATAATTTCAACGACGTAAGGTGTATGCATTAAGAAAGTCTCGAAAAATATTCAATAGGAGGCAAAACATTTTATTTTTCAAAATTCTTCAATTTTTCAGAAATGAAAATTTTCGTTTGAAATTTTAATGCATGAATTCATTTAAAAAGAAAAAGGAAACTCGGGCGATTACGCTAGCTGGCAAGGAGAGCAAGCCATCTTTAAACGATAAAGAGCCACAAGAGGCACACTATTATTATTATTATTTTTTTTTTTTTTTTTTTTTTTTTTTTTTTTTTTTTTTTTTTTTTTTTTTTTTTTTTTTTTTTTTTTTNTTTTTTTTTTTTTTTTTTTTTTTACTGACATTGGATTAAAAGCTAAATACCTCAAAGAAGTGATGACAAAGATCAGATTGACATGAAATTACCTTGCAGTAAACCTAATTTTTTATTTTTTTTTGTCGAGTGATGGGAATGAAAAGTGTCCATCGACTATCACGCTAAACTTAGTTCATTATCACCTATCAGACTCCGAGGAGGCGAAAGTGTACTACTGTTCTAGGATTCATTTTGTGCACCAGTCTTAGGATTGTTTCCATGTTCCATTGCATGTTATTTTTTTCAAAATTTTATATAAATATTGTATGAATTAGAAGCACTACTGACCTCGTACCAAGATTCAGCCCTAAAAATGATATGTCACCAACAGGAGGCTGTTGGAAAACCATAAAAATACATCAATGAAGCCCTGAAATTAAAAGCATAGCAATGATTAGTACCTATGAGGCAGCAAATAATTTTATATTTATTAATGGATAATTATTGCTAATGTATCCCAAGTTTTCGGTAGTAAATGTTGTGAATTCTTAAAACTCCTTTAAATCATAATGTTCTGAATGTTTTAAATGATCGCAAGGCCACGATGTGCATTCAGAGTAGGCATTTCACAATGCAAAAAACGATGAAGAAGTTCATCTCGCGGGGAAAATTAGGAATGTTTATGAAAGAAACCATGCTGAAAAGAAATTCTGCGGACTTGAGGCGAGGTTTGGATGCACAGTTGAAATACGGCACCGCTTCAACCAATAAATGCGCCCGGCGGCAGTCAAAGTTCATGGGCATCAGGTCATTGAGTACATTGAAAATAGAGAAAAGTTGGGAAAAGTAGAACAACCAACCGGTGAATATTTATCATATAGTTTTCTTTCTTTGAATGTTTAAGAAAAAGTAAAAATCTGACTGTTTTTCCATTTTCTTCAGATGAAAATTTAGAAATTAGCATGATCACATGCTGTAACTTTTATTTGCTGATGGTTATATATTTATTTATTTTTTTGAAAGTCGGTTAGTGAAAAGCAAATGAGAAGGTGGGCCGCAACAAGCATCGGTTTTTTACTATTCTTGGTGATCCTCCATGCCTCACAAAACGCCTCGCGATTGAATGGTTTCTCTTCCCTAAAAGCCATGCCTGGTTTGAGTGTACTTATGTTCGAAGTTTATGTATACTACCACAAAGTAGCGCATAGTGTATACTTGGCGTGAAAGTGATATGCTGCTTAACTCACGGTTTCCTTGTCCGGCTAATGGTCCAATATACTCTGACTTACACTCGGCGTCCTCTATCTTATTTTTGCGGATATTTGTTAGAAACCAATGACGCCACTCATTTTGCCGAGGTCTATTCCATGTCGGGCCATCGGGATTTAATCAAGCCGGAGAGAGTATTCGAAAATGAATGTTTACAACATAAAGAAAATCAGATATATGGCAATTTTATGCGCATAAAATGTTATTGTCATAACCTTTCATGGAAAAGAGGTCCTTATTTCAAAGTGGCAAAATTTTCAGAAGAGAGATTCTTGTTAAGTTAGGTCGACGATCCAATATAAGATATAGACATGACGGAAACCAATTTCTAGTCTCCTGAAGCTGTGAGGCATTTAGCTTGTCTTTATACAGATCATACGGATGCAAGAAAAAGAGGTGTAGGGATTGTTGGATAATATGGACGTTTCCGATAAATTGTAACGGCCCCCCAAAAATTAGATTACTAAGAAAAATGTTGTGGTATGCTACCCCACCTTGAGTTGCGGCACTCCTACAATTATTGGAAGTGCCCGTATTATCCAACAAATCGGTGTGGTACCAGAATTTCAGGGGATAATCCCTGACATTTTTTTCGTGTACCCAGTTTTAAATCCGGCTATTTCACATCCTAAGCGTGGTTGATTATAGTTAGATTGGAATGTTCTCGAAAATATATATTTTTTTTTTTAACTTTCAACTTTATATCACCATGTCTTTATTTAAAGTTTGAGATTTTAAACGATTTTTTGTTCCAAAATTTCCGTTTAGAGCACACCTCTAATCTGCTCCCATATCAGAACTCAATTTGAGTTTATGTAAACTATAGTCCCTACCCCGTAGCAATTCTCATTTTAGAGACTAGCCTATTCTTCGTTTCGTGCACACAAAGTATTTCTTCGATTAGTCTCAAAATTGAAACACTTTTATCAAAATGTTATCCATCGGTGTAGGACTGTCCAGGAATTACATAAAAACGCGCTTGAGGAAACAAGGCGGTCTCGAGCTGCCTCACAGATGCCTAAGGATGGGGGAGGGGTCTGAAAATGCCTGAAAAAAGTGCCTCTCATAATTGTAGCGCCTCTCATAAGTGCCCGTATTATCCAACAAATCGGGGTGGTACCAAAATTTCAGGGGATAATTCCTGAAATTTGTTCGTGTACACTGTTAAAAATCCCGGCGCGAAATTCACGCTTACTCAGTTGCTATTTTGACCACCTGAAATCCGGCGCGAATTTCGCGCTCTGGCCGGAGTGAAAATTTGACAGGCAAATGTAAAACGGATCTGCGTCAGCATGGATTTGAACTCGGGTCGCGACTGTGAAAGACGATTGCGTTTCCACTTTGCCATTCGACACGCATGTCAGGAACCACTGAATTCACGCTACTTGAGGGAGTTCAACAAATCCATCCGTCGTTGGTGATATTTACGCTCTGATCTATTCACTCAGAGTGCGGCGCAAGATTCGCGCCGGATTTTTTTTTTCACGCCGACTATTCACTCAGAGTAAATCATCGATTTTTTACGGAGTAGTTTAAAATCTGGCTATTCCACACCCTAAGCGTGGTGGATTAAAGTTAGATTAGAATTTTCTCGAAAATAAATTTTTTATTTTTCAACTTTATATCACCATGGCTATATATTTAATTTGAGATTTTTAACGTTTTTTTTGTCCCAAAATTTTCGTTTAGAGCACACCTTCCTGCTCCCATATTAAAACACAATTTGAGTCTGTAGGTCTCTAGAGTCTGAGGTAGGTAGAAAACCAATTTTACAAAAAGAGAAAACATTTTTGAGAAATATGAGAAATTTTGAGATGAAAAATTTATTTTGGAAAAAAAAAGTAAATTGGTCTCTGGGTTTGCAGGGCATGTCAACAATTCAAAAATAAATCTGATACCGTGCGTGTAAAAGACGAGGTCATGGATATTTTTATTTTTAAATTGCGAATTACTAAGGGCTTAAAGTTTCACTATTGACATTATTTTTGTGTGGAAGATCACAAATGCAGTCGTTCGCGCTATCCCTTAAAATCGGGTGCCATGTTGATATGCATTTGCGTCTGTTTTCCAGGGGAAGCCTTTACTATCCCACTTCACAAAAATAGTGAATAGATCCACTTAGTTTAAACAAATAATTCGATCACTTTAAAGTTGTTGCAATTTACTGTAACAATATTTTGCGCTGTTCTCTGAAAATGATGCTCATCTTTATTGCTACAGTAAAAGTTACAAAACTTTACAACGCCTAAAAAGCGAGGGGAACCAAAGGATAGATGTGACTCAGGTAGAAAAATTGAAAATACACCACATTCCTTATTCTGAGAAGATACTTTCCAAATCAAACGAATTGATCAGATTTCTCTTTTTCGGGTGAACGATCAACCCAGACTTTCATAACTCTTTTTAAAACCAACATGATTACCTCCATCTATTAAAGAATCATGAACAACAAACATTACATCATTACGTAATGTGGTTGGAATATAGGGAAGCAATAACCGTTTCTGATTATGATAAGCTATAAGGTATATTATTTCTGTTTCAGGATCTAATTTGAACCGACGTGATTTCCTTTTTATTGCCTTCGAGACCATAGCGTTATCATCCGTTAAAGCAGTCCTTTATCTCAGGGTCCTTTCGTTGCTCTAGGCCTAAATTCATTAATTTAACGTTTAGTCCGGGCAATCTACTAGGAAATTGGACCTTAGGTGGTAAAAAATCGGAAGCAAATTCCAACTAAAGGGCGTTAATGTACCCCAGTAGGAGTGTAGTTTTTGAATATTCCCCAACTTTTCGACGTGCGGAGAGCCCTGAAAAATCAGGGAACTCCCTGAAAATTCGCCAATTTTCAAACGAGCATAACTTGGCATCAGATTATCGTATTGAGATCTTTTTATTTTTTAAATTGTCAGAAATTAAGTCAAGTACATGTTAACGACAACTACGTTTGGAAAAAAAATTACCATAGTTGTCAAATTTACGAAAAATTGAAAATTTGTTTTTTCTAAAAATCCTTAAAGCTGATTTCAGGTCCCAAATCGGTAGAAATCGGAAAAAATGCCTTCTATAAAAGTTGTAGAGAATTTTTTAAGCTTTAAAACGGAATATTATTGAATTTTGTACAATGATTTGTTGCCAAACTACGCGCAAAAAACCCGGGATTTTTTTCCGCTCGAGAGCGGCAGATCCTTGCGACTCAACGCTTAGCCACCTGTTAAAATCTAGAATTTCTCCAGGATCTTACGTTTAACACATAATTATGAAATTGGGAGTATATACTTGTTTAATAAAAGTATGAGAACACCCCTTCTCCTTCCATCCCTATCCCTTGTTGCCATAATTATTATAAAAATGTTATCTCTATCGCGTTAGTCGGAGAGAAATACGGTTTGACCCGGAACAAATCGCATAACAAACTTTTCCTATGTAAACGTCATCAGTAGATCCTCCTGAACAACATTCTAAACTAGCGAAATGCCCGTGACTGGATTCATGGGTCTAGAGGCCGCTAAAATATCTTATAAGCCCGAAAAAATGGTGGTAGGGGAGCAGGACATGGCATTAAAAAAATGATAAAATCGATAGAAAAATGAAATGAGGGGGGAGGGTGATGGAGCTAGAAAAATGAGCTGGGGAGAGGGGGGAGGTAGAAAAAATGCTTGCAAAAAAATTAAAACTAACCTAGTAATGATTTATTAACAAAACAAAACAAAAAAAATGAAAAAAAGAAATTGATATAAAACATGAGCTGATAGCAAACAAAAGTTACCAAGGAAACCGAGGAATGGAACTTTCATAAAAACAGATCAGTGGAAAACAGTGTTTGTAGGGCACTTACGTTAATTTCCGTTTATAAGTAATTGGTAAATGCGATTTAACCGAAAATCTATACAGTTCTTTATCAGACCAAAATGGACAAAATTACAAAATTTGAATCAGCTAACGTAAATCTAACGGTAGTTATCGTGAAAAAAAGAAATTGAAATAAAACATCAGCTGATAGCAAACAAAGGTTAACAAGGAAACCAAGGAATGGAACTATCGTAAAACAGATTAGTGGAAAACAGTGTATGTAGGGCACTTACGTTAATTACCCTTTATAAGTAATCGGTAAATGCGATTTATCTGAACATCTATAAAGTTCTTTATCAGACCAAAATGGACAAAATTACAAAATTTGAATCAGCTAACGTAAATGTTGGCGCCGCTCGCGCCGCCAATATTTATCCTGCAATCTATTCGGTAGGCAAATCGGCCGTGCCTCATGTCGCGCCGCGCGCCTAGTTCCGGGCCCGCCCGATCGCGCTGCGGGCTTTCTAATCGCCCCTGCGGCTTTTCATAAGATATTTAAATTCCTTTCTCAATTATTTTATCCGTTTCAAAAAGTAAAATTCATCTTTGATTCTTTCTCTCAATAAATCCTTAGTTATAACACTCACTGGTGCCTTCCTTCACAACCTTTCTCAACTTAAACCACGCGTCCGCGTTATTCCTTCTCAAATTCAGTTTCACCGGTTGGCCCGTGGGCTGCATAACGATTGCGCACACTTTTCTTACCGATAACGATTGCGCACACTTTTCACGAATATCATTTGCGCACACTGTTTACCGATAACGTTTGCGCATACTGCACTATTTGGCAACGCTTCAATGATGCGTCAGTAGTATCGCTTCGTGATAAGACAATTCAACGGACGGATAATTTATAAACGGACGAGGGGAAATTTTCATTTAAATAAATTCCAATAAGCAATCAATAAGTAAATGAATAAATAAGTTAATTAGGACGGGTTTTAGGGCTATTTTTAGGGCAGGTTGCATTTGAAGAGCAAGTTTCATCAGCACCATTTTCAGAAATGGATTCAAAAACAGCCCTAAAACCCGTCCTTGCACTGAAGATGATTCCGGTGAAGACAGTGACAGCATTTTTAGCTGAAGTAACAGCGAAAAATCTGTGAGTAACCATATACCTTATTTTCTTAACTTTCTTCATTTTCTATTTTCTTCTTATTAACATTCATTTACTTATTGATTGCTTATCGGAATTTATTTAAATGAAAATTTCCCCTCGTCCGTTTATAAATTATCCGTCCGTTGAATTGTCTTATCACGAAG